TGATAAAATATTAAAAAAGAAGTCATTAATCTTTTATGAGAGTTGTACTTTATTCTTAGAATGTCCTCACATGGTTATAGATTTCTAAGAGTCTACTAAAGTCAATAAATTGAAAGAACACTTTCAGTTTCTAGAAGTGCATTTCAGAGGTCTTTATGCACTCTTTCTGAAAAGCTTTTGGTCTATTTAAACTGTATATTATAATTATGTCAAAAATATATCATGAAGTAAAGCATCACATTAAATAATTTGTATAATGTCACCATTTAAACATATCAATATCTCTAAAAATTCTAACATATATAAAAATTCTCCTATTCTGTCAATGGTACTTCTAAATTTAATTTGACTGTCTTTATTCTGACAAAGTTATTTTCACTTTTATTTGTATAAGAGCTATAAAAAAGTAAAACATAAAAGTAATTTACGAAACAAGGAAGCTGAACTTTAAGTGTTATCATTCAGTAAAAGACTTTTCAGTGACATTTTGTCAATGTAAATATGTTAGCTATTATTACTTCCATTGATCTGACTGAGAGCTTTTCTTTAAGAACCAAAGTGAAAATACATTTACAGTCACATTTACTGAAAAATAATTTCAACTATTCATTAACATTAAATTAATTCTCTTAAGATATCTAAATATCGTGAGATTATCTGAATTATCCTGCAATGTGTTCTTTCATGTTGAATTATTTTAAAAATTAATTAATATCATAATTGAATAGATAGCTGTAATACTATTGAATAGGAAAAGAATATAACTATTTAAGGGTAGAATATGTAGCTAGTCTACTCTGACACTAAATATTTTAAAAAAGCATTATTGTACTCAGAGTATATATTTCTTTCATGCTTGACACAAATTTGCTTTTATATTTTATGGTGGTAAGATAGTGGTTAAGGGCATTGTTTTTTTACACTTTGCTTACCATGGATACAGTACTTATAAATTCCTATTTTTGTTTCTGTTTTGCTCCTAGCCACAGTGGGGCATTATTAGTGGTCACAGTGATCACACTGTTAGTGAAATAAAAAAAAAACTAAACATATTCCTGTAAATCACCACCATTAACTTTATATTTACTTCTGTCTGTATTTCTATATATGCAGATGTTTGGGATAAAAAAAAATAAATTGTTGGATGCCATATTTATCCATTAGATAGATGTAACCTTCCATTACTATGGACTAAGTGTATGTTGTTCGTTTGCCCTTTTTACAGTACATATGAAAAACTGGTTACAATGTATTTCATTTGCCATTTAATAAGTGCTGATTGCAACTGTATAGTATTTGTGTATTTTTATCTTACACTGTTCTATTTTCTATTGGACCAGATTGTTTCTACATGATTACATTGGCCATGCAGACCTTCTCCCAGCACAACATGTCATGGAGTGAATAGCTTACTTGTGTATCTTTACGGCACTGCAAAACACTATAACTGCTCACCTGGATCTAATAGGGAAAAAAAACTGAAATTTTTTTTAAGTTTATGAAGTTTGTCCTTTGGAAATATTTAGGGGTTCAGATTAGGTTTGCAGGATTTTCTGATTTTCAGCAATCCTTACAGAAGCACCACACTTCTAGGAAACTGCTTCTGACATTTACACAAGATTACCACTGGAATAACATTGTCAATCTGCAGGGAGGAATTGTTTCTTCTGTCCTAATAAATGAGAAAGAGACATTTCTTCTATAAACCTAGCTAGGTCCTTCTGAATGATAGATATATTGGCTTGTTTGCATTTCTGCTGAAATTGAGAAAAAACCATAGTGGTTTGATTTGAACACATATATGAAAATCCTCTTTACTATTTGAATGCGTAATGCAATAACAATTATTAGAAATTCATTTTTCTAAATGAATAGTACAGATGACTGAGAAGATTAAATGGCTTTGATAGGCACTTACTGTTCGGGAAAAAACTTGCACTTTTCTGCAGTATAAATCCACACAGTGGCCGTGTAAAACCAAAGAATAATATTAAACAGGAAAAAAGAAGGAATGTAGATGGGTATTAAAACATATTTGAATGAAAATGGAAGATAAAGGTAAGGTTTTAAAAAATTCCAAGTGCTTTTAATATCTTACTAAATTCTAATGGTAAGTCCCACATACTTACATTAGCAAGCATTCATTTATTCAGAGATGTAAAAAGAATATTACGTAAAATTATGGCATGGACCAGTTTTGAAGTCCAGGACAATTAGAATTCACATTAAATTAGTTCTTTAAACTATTCAGCTAAGGTTTTAAATACTGTAGCCCATATTACAGACATGAAAACTGTGTATTACTGTGAAAAACAATCAAAGGTGGTATCAGCTGCTAAATGTAAAGAATTATATATATATATATGTACATATGTATTTTTATTTCTTTATTTTATTTTTCTGAACTTACACAGATTCATAGATTTCACTAGACAAATTTAATATCTTTAGGAATACATTTATAAATTTCTGTAACAGTTATACTTGATGTCTCTGGAAGATGTTCCCTCTATTTACACTTTAGAAACTGCCTTTACTAAAAGAGATGAGTCTATGTAAAAACAGTCCACTTCCATTCTCTGCTTTCTTTCCTTAAATCCTTAGGAAGCCCTGGAGATTCACATTGGGAAACAAGAGCTGTGACTGCATAGTGCAAATACAGGCTGACTTGGCACAGTGTCCCTCACATTAAACAGAGCTTTGCTCTAGAAATGGTACAGGTTCAATGAATGGGCTTCAGAGCAGCTGCCAGCATTCGTTTCTGGCAGATGACTAAAGGAGATGTGTGCCATGTGAAAGACTCTTGCTAGGTTTCAAGGTATTAAAGAATAAGCACTGGAAAAATGTGCCACAAGGGACATGCTCGCCTTGAGGACTACTTGAAAAAGAAAAATAACCTTCATAATTATTTTAAAGATTATAGAGAACATTGGTGTGAACTCCCTTCCAGTACAGTCCTAGAACACCATAATCTGTCAATTGTAAGATACTGCCCTTAGCACAAAGGAATATGGGGACAATATATTATGGATAGGCAATGTATGAAAATCTAAGCCATTTTAAAAAATCACTTAAGAATAATTTCCATGTGTGATTCTGATTCACTATTTTCAGTAGCTTATACACATCAAAAATCAATGAGCAACAACTTCTGATCTGTAACTAGTGAGAAATTGAGAAACAGCGCTTGTGCTTTACCTTCCTTTTCTTTGTCCATTGATATGAAAAATGAATCTGAGGGAGGGAAGCTTAAACTGAAGAACAATTTCTGAGATGGCAGATAAAGGTGATTTCAGTGGATCTGTGGCAATTTCCACAATCTTTCGCTCAGTCTTCTCCAAAAAAAAAAGGGTAGTATAATTTTGGCCAATCCACCCTTTTGTTAGTTTGGTTCATGTTGTTCCTTTCCCTCTAACAGAAGCAGAAACTCCTCAGTAAGTCATTTCTTTCTGGGACGTGCCAGGAACTAGAACTCTTATTAACCTAGGAGAATATTACTGTCATATAGTGGAAACAATGCAATATATAAACATCAGACATTAGTGTTAAATTATACATTAATTATTTTTCAGTGACCAGAGTTAAACTTCTGCACATTTGCCTTTTTTTCATATTTTTCCCCCATTTTTTCCTCATATGCACATACACAGCCTCATGATAAACTACTGGAGATAAGGTTATTACTAGCTGACACTGTAAGAATCTTTACTCCCTACAATGCTTAGTGCTGAGATGATTTTCATTGCTAGGAACCTGAGAATGCATGTAATTTAGACACAAATTCTGCTTTTCCAAATTATGCTTTGATTTTTTTTTCTCTTGACAGTTTGACATGCTCCCTTTTGTATTATTATTATTATTGTTATCATCATCATCATCATCATCATCATCATCATCATCTATAATTTAACAGCTCTTTTTTTATAGCTGTGTTAAGTTCCCCACAGTATAAGCAAATATACTATTGACCAAAATCTATGTCTACAATAATAAAATAATTTATCATTTTGACAATTTTCTTTGCTATTTTTAAAGTAGGTTTTATGCTGTCTACTCAGACTTCATTTTGTTCTGAAAACCAAAGGGTACTTTAGTATGTGGAGGAATCACAGAAGCAATCTATCTGTCAATTCAAATTTTGTATTTAACAGGTAACATCACTAAGGATTTAATGGCAAAAGACAGACAATCATTTATCTTAGTACTGCATTCCTATGCTGAATTTGTTCCAACACTGGGAAGTTCTAAAACTATAATTTTAAGTGAGACTATAATTTCTCATTTCAGCATAGGAAAAACAGTCTTGTTTCATTTTAACAGCAGATGCATAGTGGCGTTAATGAGTAGAAAACTGTATGTGGTAACATTGTCCCAGATTAAGAAGTTAACAGTTTGTCAAAGACATTGGGTCTTTTCCCCAGCTCTAACTACAGCTGACTGAACCTGAGCAACATGAACCTGCTGGCTCATGTCCCTTCCCTTCCCTTCCTGCCCCTTCCCACCCCTCCCCACCCCTCCCCTCCCCTCTGTAGGTCATAGAACAGCTGCTAGGTCAGTAAGAAATATGTTCTCATATTCCCCTTTTTATAGTTGTTTAATAATGCTTTCAGAATTAGGATCATCTGATTTACTTTTTACTGATTCACTGGAGATTCACAATCATATTATCATCTGGTTATATTCATTCGCGTAAGGCATAGCACACTTCTGACTGTGATTTGCCTTCCACCTTCTCCTTTGCACTTCTTATTTCTTTCCAGACATGAATTTTAAACTACAGTTGAGGGTGTGATATAAGGATGTGGGTTTACTTGAACCTTAGTAATACTGAGTATTAATTATCAGATTCTAAAATACAGGCTGAATACCATTTGAATTTTAATTGTATTATAGATAATAGAATATCTTTCCCATTGAACTAGAATGGTAGTAATTATCACAGTTGTCCCTTATAAAGTTGATGAGATTTAAAAAGAATATTTTTATTTCTTCTCTTTCAGTTTCTGACTTGGATATTCAAATAGTAAGGCGTTCTACTAGGAGAGTTTCCATGTCTTTCTTATGAGCTGTTGTGAGATGATTTTACACTGAAAGTTTTCAGTTCCTGCATCTGGTGGCACAAATGAAATGTTGTAAGTGTTTTTATTATTTTTTTCTTTCCATTTTTAATATCAGGTAACATAATGGTAGCTTTAGTTCTCTACTAATGTCAAAGATTAAAGCCTGAGAGTTTCAGATTAGACATTTGGGCAAGAAAAATCTACTAGAAGGGTAGTGCAGCACTGGAGCTGGCTACCCAGAAAGGTTGTGAAATGCTCTTGGAGATTTTCAAGCCTTGGCTGGACGAAGCCACAGCTGGCCTCCTCTAGTGTTGGTTATAGCCCCATTCCGAGTAGGAACAGACCTGTATGAACTCCATTGACAACCCCTCCAGCTAGCACTGCTACCTTACTGTGAAAATGCAGTGACTGTAAGACAGAAAAGGTATAAAGAGTCAGCTGCTGTCACAAGGGCAGTATATCCAGATAAGCATCCTGGAGAATCAATGTTTTTGGACTTGATTTTCAGGAGCTGCTCCATATCACACCAACATACTGTGCTAAAAAGGGATGACAATGAAGCTGATTTTCTCTTATGTAAGTGACAGGGTAGAGAGAGGTGTATCACAGACTCCAGTCTCATTTGGTCTGATGAGGAGTTGTACCACTGTTTGCTCTGGACTGCCTGCAAATTACATGACTGTGTCCTTGTGACCTGAATCAAACACAACCTAGGCAGGACAAACAAGGAACTTCACCTAGGGATTGTTGAGGTGGTCTTTAAATCTCATATAACACTATATTACCATCAAAGGGTTATTCATGGTCAGCCTTGTATAACTGACATGTATTAATGGAATCATAGTTCATATTTTTTTCTATGTAAATTTACTGTTTCCCCTTTTCCATAGGTATATGTGTTATTCCTACTATACCTCAACATAACTGATAGAGTTCCTACAGATCACAGTAATTTTGTTCTTATATTTTTCCATTTCACTAATATAAGCAGATTCACCTACCAAACTATTTGAACTCTATGGTCTCCTCAAGTGTCTTTACCATAGCAAATGCTCCTTGATGCATTATTGAGTTTCATCAGTGAGTGTAGAAAAAGAATAATTTCCTTTTTATATTTTTTTCTAATGCTGATAAATCAAAAATCTTGATAGGTTAAACTTGAAAAAATTCCTACAGTAATCTTCAGCTAAGCAAATGGATGTTAATGGAATGACAGTATAAAAGGGATATAAAAAAATACCTTCCTACAAATAACATTAATCATTTTTCTCTTAATGGACACACCATCATACTTGTGTATGCTAATTTGTTTCTACTGTTCAAATAAAACACTTCATGCACTGTTTCAGCTAACAGTGAGCAAAGTCAATACTTTGATTTGACATCTCTATTGTAGTTTGCATTTTACCTCCTGTTTGATACAGATAAATTCTATAGTTGTGTTACATTTTTCTTTAGGATTGGGCAGATCAGTGAGGGTGATAAAATGTTAGTGATGAAAGCTTCGGGAATTAGATATGTCTGTCTCAGTCTAACCTATTTCTTTTGTGTGAACTCCATCAGAAATGATGTACTGTAAAAAATACTATGTCTGTTCAGATTAAAATACGTCATTTTTCAGAACACAGAAAGAGCCTAAATTTTTTATTTAATGTCTGAGTTTATTTAACAGCTTTATACATTTTTCAGTAGTTTTGTTGTCAAAAGCAGAACTGATTGCCAGTATGCTATTTCCTTGTATTTCTCCTACTATCCCATTACTCTGCAGAACACAGGGAGCTAGAAGGAAGCTTCATTGGTAATCTTCTGCCACAACAGCAAAATTATAATCAACCAGCTAGTTGCTGTGGTGGTTACAATGTGTGTTACAGGAGAAGCTTTTAAGAGACCTCTAGTTTTTGACTAGGCCCTGTTAGATTGAAAGAGAATGGGAAGTGATCATTCCCTCTTCCTTTCAAATACTTTTTTTTGGATATGCTTTTGGGGCTTGCTTATATTAAACTAAATTTTGTCAAAACTTCTGTCCCAAAGGCTGGAGGACTGAGTGAACTTTTTTTTTTGGTTGACAGATATTTTGTTTTCTCTTCCTTGTTTCACTACCTTGTACTTCTTCATTTATTTCTTCCTTAGTTAGCTTTAACATGGTTTAGTTAAATAGAAGCAACTCTTGGGCCAAAGAGGCAAGCTTTTTTTTTCAAATTAATGTTAACCTGTGCAGGGTAGATTTTAATGAATTATCCATATAGCAACAAAAATAGGAATGGGTTTCCTGACTCAGCAATGAAAAATAAAATTAATTACATAAGAACAGGTCAAGTTAAAAGTCCATGAAGAACAATAAGCTGTCTCTGTTAGTAGTCTATGACAGTGTGGATTTTTATGTCCTTGAAAAATTAATTGTATAGCACTATGAAGATTTTGCATTTTTCCTCCTACTTGACTCATGCTGCTTGCCATGCAGTTGTTATTTCCATGTTCTTTTGCTTACTCCTGTCATGGGATTCTATCAATCTGCTTAAAATAAAATTTGGAGAAAATGGTTCTGCTTGTCTAGACCTCTCAAAAAACTACATCACTATCTAAAGACAGGAGTTATCCTACCTAACTGTACTCTTAAAAAAATGGAATAAATGGAAAGACACAGTCTGCCTATTCAGAGCACATTTTTTAAACAGCTATCTTAGCATACGTTTAATTACTTTATAATGAGTACCTTTGCAAGCAGCATAGATTACATGACTAATGCTTAGATGACTAAACCAAAGAATTAATTCTTTCCTGATGGTTGAAAGCATTGCTCTTTCTGTTCATGATGCTGTCAGCCAGCTTCAAGGTACTGCTTCGTAGCTAAAAGTGGGTAGGACAGTGACACAGGAATTAATTCTTAGTTTTATGCCTTTTCCAGACCTAATAATACTTTGGTAATTCGAGTTTGTTTTTTTGATTAGTCTATAAAAAATATTTCCCATCAAAATTCCTTGTTAAATTTATACTTCCACCAACAATGAGGACTCAAATCTCATGATCTTCCAATCCCACACTCCATCAAATTCACTATCTAATATTGTGTCCTTTCTGTCCATTTCTATAGCTCCTTGTAAATCACAAATTTGACAATCCTTCAGTCCCTGAGGTACACCTAGGAGGTTGTAAAGCTGCTGAGGTCCACACACATTGTTGTCACACACTTCCCATGTGTGCTGCTGATGGTTTGCTGAAAGTATTTCCAAGAGTTATGAAGAGTGAGGAGTTTCTGGTGAGACAGGACAGTCTGGCGTTCTATCCTGGAAGGCCAATTGTTGTAGAACACTTTTAACATTATACTTTCCATTCTTATGAGAACAAAACTTTTTTTGAAATGTTGGAAAAGAAATGTAAGTTTTAAGGAGACTTACTACTTTGTAGAAGACACCAAAATATTCCAGCAACCCTACCGTACAGCACAGTTCTATCCTGTGCCCAGTGTGCTTCACAGATCAGAGCTAAGGTGGCAGTGGTGGGTGAGAACACTAGCCCATGGTGTCAAATTGGTCTCATCTCTACCAAACTCACATTTTTTAACCAAACTGTCATTTTTTAATCTTGTTTTTTGTCTATTAAAAAAAAAAAGGAAAAAGGAAAAGGAGCTTTCTTTTACTTCAGAGTAAAATGAAACACCGAGTCATATGTTTCATAAACACAAGAAGAATCAAGCAGTTTACTATGTCCTGTTGGCCTTTTGCATAGTGTTAAATGAAATCACACATTGCTCAGACTTTCTAATTAACAGTATGCTGTGTGGAGGAAGTCTTTCAGTAATTAACCTTTCAATTAATCAAAGTACATTTTCTGCTTCTCTCCAACTTCGATCTATTTCATGTTTTTTCTTTCTTTATTTCTTATCTTTTATTTTGTGGTCTAGATCTTGCCTTTGAAATAATAAGAATCACAGTTTATTCACAGCTATCAAAATTTTGAGCTACACTGTAAGATGACAGAGAATAGTAAAGCTTATTTTCATTCTAATAATTCTGAATTAAAATATCAATTTTATTATGATAGAAAAAGAACTCCCATGACCCATTTTTGTTGGCTAAAATCATATGCACTCATAAAGATGCTCTACTTTTCATTCAACCTCAAAGGTTATTCATTTCAGAGATGTAGAACTATTTTTGTAAAGGGAGACAGAATTGTTCCTTATATATACAATAGAACTTCATCAGACTGAAAACTGAGCTCACATGTCACCTACAGACTTTCTCTTCATTTTCCAAAATATTTCTATTTCTTAATATGCATTTCTTAGGTAGTAATTTTTGTCATTGTATTCTATAAAAGTATGGAGTCATTTATAAACAAAGTGTCTTACAAGCAGAAGGCTTACAAACCAACATATACAGATTTGAAAGTATGGAGAGGTTAGGCAAAAACCTCAGAAATAATTGTATATTTCATAAAGTTATAAAACAAAAGTGGAAACTATTTGATAAATGTAGTTTTCTCCAGCAAAGAGCAATATAGACTTTTCTCTCTTGTCACCTAAGAAAATATAATAATGTATTTCAACTTGGCTACATGTAAGAACTAATTGACCAACAGTCAACCCAAAAGATCTGAGAGCTGACCTGATGTTTTATCAATATGTTTGCTGAATTAATTAATCATTAATTCCTGTATGTGTTTTTGCATATTTTTTTCTTATATGCACTTAGAAAAGACTACAAATAAGCTTCTAAAGAGAAAGCCTTGCAATATTGAGGGATTTACTAATTTCCAACTCTCAATGCATATTTTTTTCCATTCAGAGAAATTACTTAGGCTTATTAAAATTTGGGCTAAAAAACCCAGCAGTCAGCTTTAACAAGATGATCTTTAACAAACTTATTTAATCACAATGGGACACCTGCCTCCCAGTTTCATGGAATCATAGAATATGCTGAGTTGGAAGGGATCCATAAGTATCATTGAGTCCAACTCCTGGTCCTGCACAGAACCAGCCCCAAGAGTCACACCATAAGCCTGAGAGAACCATCCAAATGCTTTTTGAACTCTGTCAGGCTTGGTGCTGTGACCACTTCTCTAGGGAGCCT